AAGCATCTCTTAAGACTACTTAAGGCATAACATTTCACAATCCAACCTTAGCATCAATCTTAACAACATTTCATTTTAATGTCCAACTAGTATCTTAATATAGACAATTCCAACTGATTTTCCTTTGAAAGTATCATTTATCTCAATATTCAAAATATCACAACACATGAATATTGAGAAAAAGTATATTTCAACATATGTTTCATAATAAATTCTAATATGGAGAAAAAGTATATTTCAACATATGTTTCATAATAAATTCCACATTCAAGTCAACATACTCACAACACATGAATATACACAATTTACTCTTAAATTTGTATATCATGCTCATTTTTCTTTAGACATTTAGTCTTTTCATTTTTAGGCATTATTAATCATTAATAATCCATAAAAACACATTTAATTACCTTCGGTAATCTCATGAAATTAACTCACTAATTATAAGCAATATAGTCAGCCATCCTCACCTTATGAAGTGCTGAAATAGTTGCCTTTGTTAAACCCTTCGATCAATCCTCGTTCCAAATCGAGAAGAAGATGAAATTGGGCCGGCTTTGGCAAAAGCCGGGCGATGTTCGTCAGCCTGCAGCACGAACAACTTCCTATATGTGGCGGTTTCCGGCGGTTTCGACTCCTATCGATTTGACAACCCTTCTAAGTTAATTACCACCACTTTATAAAAATATTCCACACTTTTAAACGTGTAGAACATCATGTTTAATCCATCATATGATTTCTTACAAATCATACATGATAAAACTAGTTAAAGAACCATAGTTATGTTCTTACCTTAAACTCAAGCTATTTCTTGTGGATTTTTCCTAGCTTCCCTCTTCTTCCAACTAGAGTTTTGCTTTCCCTTGGGCTTCTCTTGCTTTGTGCTGGCCGAATGACACAAGGTAGGGGGGAGGCATCTCCTCTCAATCAATTAGAAGAGATGCCAAGAGGGGACATGGAGCATGTTCATTTGTCTCTAGGAGACTTCCTCCCATTGATTGTGCGTACCAGCACATTTGTTTGCTCCCATCCTCTTATCACTCAGTCCATCAGCACTCCTAAAAACGTGGGGTGGCCCCCACTTATGTGGGAGGTCATCCCGTTATGTCTCGGTATGTATAATCGGTCCCGAAAGTTGTATTTCTCGGACTGTTTTAATCATATTTTATTTTATCGGGCCAAATAAAATATCTCACGTGTTCCTAATAATTATGGGCCTTTAGAATAGATGTATATTCCCCAACATTAATTTAGGAGTCTCCGAAACTCTTTTCGGGCTGTTATCCGTTAAATTACCAATACCGGTAATTGGGCCCCGTTTGACCAACCGGTCAACTCCATGCCTTTCTTATGGCCCAAATAGAATATCCACCCCCATATAGATGTCATCTAGTCCAAGATGAATATAATATGTGGTTCGGGAATTATCGGGCGGTCCCCGTTCGCGCTGTGGGCCCCACATGCAATTTACTATTCACGTAAAAGAATTAATAAAAATTTACAATCACGCAAATTCATAAATCATCTTTCAAGGTTTATTACATAATTTACTAAAAGTAAATATACTCGGGGTCGGTGTTACAATGTAACATAAACTTGGCAGCTTTCTGTATGAATCCCTATCTGTTCCGCATATTTGAATCAAATCATTCTCTTTCGCTCTCCATGCTTTTTTGTTATATATATCCACCCCTAACTGTAAACTCTGATCTATTGGTGTTGGTGGATCTGACATTATAGCTTTCGGTGGATATGGCTTTCTTGAGGCATCAAGATATTGGTGTTTAATTCATTTCCCGCTAATTGATGCAGTTGCTTGTCTATTCCCACTCAATCTTTCATTAATTGAACACCTGTGCACACCATCAAACCCGTAATCAAATGATTTAAAACAACACAATATAAATTCACATTCAATGATTAATAGTCTCCACGTTGTTGCCTCTGGTTACAATAGAAAAATATAAATTAAAAAGAACTGCATGATTATAATTAATCTACTAATGAATTATATATTAAAGACTTATTATATCTTCAGTTACCATTTACCAACTCATAAAATATATGCAATAACACTTACAATAAAGCATAAACAAAAATTAGTCAATAATAAGTAATTGAATACCTTCTCACTTTAAAACAAGTAGTTTCTTTTAATTTGACCCCACGTACTGCTCAATTGCATTTCTCCTCAAAGCACACAACATGATTAACATTAGGATGCGATGTCTTGGAATTGGATTTTTTTGTGTAGTGTATATAGTTGCAAAGTTTCTTTCAAATGTCCTTTATTACTAGGATAAATGCCATGAAATCTTAATGTAGTGTCCATCCCTACCATTTCTTCACCACCCAGCCATGTTAGTAGTAGTGTATGAACAACTGCACACTCCTCAAATGTCCTCACATAGGTTTCCTTACCTTCACCACTATTGGTAGTATTGTTCACACCCACGCCTTCATTTCCTATTTCCATTTCACTGCCCTTTGCAACCTCATTCATCTCATTTTGGTTCTTTATTTGAACACACAATGGACACTTGCTAACTTTATTTTGTTCTATACCTTTGACATGTAAATAACACCGTAAACTATTGTCACTGTCAATACAAGTTGGATCATACTCTTCATCGATCTATTTGAAACGATATGCTGCAAATATCCACTATAGGATCAATATCCAAATTGTTCCGCAGCTCATGAATAAATTCACTATATGACGCCTTCACATTCAAAAGAAGTCCATGTGTTGATTTTGAGATGAATTTTTTATCAGCCTTCCATCTTCCGTCATACAACACTGTCAACATAATTTCTTCCGTCCGACTAAAAAAAATTGAATTGTTTTTCCTTAATCTGAAAAATACTCTCTCTATCCCCCAATTAAGTTCCCGGTTTGACTTCACACATATTAAGAAAATAAATTTGACTTTACTGTGGAGTGCACTATTTTGCACTGTTCAAACACTGTTTGACACTGTTTGGCACTGTTTGACACTGTTTTGATGTAGATAATTTGCCAAATAAAGAAAGTAAGGAAGTGTGAACTTAATTTAGGGACTACCCAAATAGGAAAGTGCTAACTTCATTGGGGGACGGAGGGAGTATATTGTTACCAGGTATAACTAGCTATAATTTGATGCATACACAATTTTTATTAAAAACTAACTATGTCACTACGGTTACATAATGCCCAAACACACTATATACAATGTAACTACATGCATTGTTCAAGTAAATGTCACCGAAAAATGTAACTATGTCACTACGGTTACACAATGATCAAGGAAACTACACACAATGTAACTAAAGAACTTATTACTGTCAAACTCATTGAAAAAATGAACTGTCACTACAGTGACACGACAACCACGGACCTTATACACAATCTAACTAAAGGATCAAACTTGTTTTCAAAGTCACTTAAAAATAGAACTATATCACTACTGTTACAAAATGACCAAGGAAACTACACACAATGTAGCTAAAGGACTTGTTACTGTCAAAATCACTTTAAAAATGGAACTATGTCATTACAGTTACACAATGACCACATACCTTATACACAATGTAACTAAAGGACTTGTTACTGTCAAAGGCACTTAAACAATAGAACTATGTCACTACAGTTACATAATACCCAAACACACTATACACAATGTAACTACAACGTTTTTACTGTCAAAATCAGTGGGAAAATGCAACTCCTTTACATTATTCTGGCAGTAACACTGGTTATTCATGCACACTTCAAAATTTATCTACGTAGCATGTGAATGTTGTATGAAACTCAACATGTACATTATTTATCTTAATCCATAGTTCGTAATACAGTTAGATTATGTAACCAATGTAATTACTAAACATGTAACTGACATATCAATGGTTGTTTTCATCCATAAATTGAAATCTACTTACAAGCTTAAGAGTTTAACAACACATTATGCTTGATAACTATATGAGTTTAACAACACATTATATAACTAAAGGGATATATAAGTGCAGAAATTTGTGGCTTCTATTTGGAGTTCAATCCAAATCAAAATCCAGTTAACTAAGTCTGTAACTACATGATTTCGTCTGCCAGTTACACATATGTATACGAATCAACAAACACTAACAACAAATTCATCTGTAATATGAATAAACACGATTTCATAGAAACAAGTCGATTAATTCCATCGCTCGGATAAACTCTAATGATATCAATATAATTTGCGTTTCAGAAGAATAAACATACTTGATTAGTGAAGCTTGATTTTTGATGCTAAACTCTGCTTTCTTCCTTACAAAACTTGATTTCCGATGCTGAACTCCAACTTCTCTCTTCGCTCAGATACGAAGTGAACAATAGATTTGGAAGCGGTTGATTCTCTCGATTCTTTCTAATAACAGACTCTCCGAGAGTAGTATGCCACATGTAACTTTAAGAGCTGACTAGGAAGAGTTGATGTTCTTAAGTTACGTGCCGCCAATTTTGTTACCTACTAGGTCAGTTTTTTGTCTTTTGATTATTGGACTCATTTTTGTGGAATTGGGCCTCCTAATACTTGTATTGGTGTCCTTTTCCCGTGTTTTAATGGGACTATTGGTCATTGACCACATCAAGATTAGACCAGATCAAAGTAAGATCAGACAGTTACAAAATAAACACATAAAAGAAACATCAACCAGATCAAACGAGATAAATTGGAACATAACAAATTTTTGTACAATTGAAATCATCCTATCTTAAAAATTTCTTCCTCAATTTTTTTAAAAACATTTCTTCCTCATCGTTAAGATTATAAGCGATTTTCCTCTTTTCCCGAAAATCGGGTCTGAGTTGTCTGCGGGGCTCATTCAAATCACAGACGCCAAAATTCGGATTTTTGACTCTTTTTGCGTAAAATTGCAGGCAGATTTGGTTTTACAGATCAGTGGTTTGATTTTTTTCACTTTTTTTATTGCGTCTACTTTATCACTCCCGCTCTTGTCGTAGTTCGTACCAACAGTGACACCGGGAATATATATACTCGCTCCGGGAAACTCAAATTTGCTCTTTCCCCTCCCCGCCGACTAATGGCGTCCGCCACCGTCGTCGATACACTCGATGCCGCCCCTCTCCCCGCCGATACCGACCGCCCATTGCAATTAGACTCGATTCCGACCGTTGATCTCCGCCTCCTTTCCCAATCTGAGCTCTACGCTCTTTCCCTCTGTTCTCCATCCGCTTTCGACCCCCGTCGCTCTGACGATGTCGTCAGCCCCAAGCTCGACCGCTCCGTCTTCAACGAGTCCGCCGGGTCTCGCAAACAGACTTATTCCCGTCTCCGTCTCGCCCCTGCGTCGTCATCCTCTGCTCTCCGTAGCCGAACACCTCATCTGCGCGCCTCAAATCACAACCAGAACCATCCCTCCCTCCAGACAGACCCGGAGAACTTTCAAATCGTGTCCCTCCTGAAGCGGCTTTTCGCAGCGGAGACGAGCCCCACCGACTTGGTTCCCATCCCAGTTGATTATACGGGCTCAGTTCAGCCGGTTGCCCAATTGCCCAATGTCCCGCCCCCGGGGTTCAAGAGAAAACGCGGGCGGCCTAGAAAGGACAAAAGCGACCTTGTGGACGTGAAATTCGAGCAGCCAAGTCATTCAAATGGGGATACGACGATAGCTAACGCAGTGACATTCGAGAATTCGCTGGATGGGGATAAAGAGGTTATGAATGCTGTTGGCGTCCCGGTTGATTTGGTTGCTCTGGGCTCATTGCAGGATCCATATGGTATGGAGCTGAGGCGGAGGACAGAAGGACTTGAGGGTGAGGCGAAGCTGTTAGGGTTTCTCCAGGGTTTGAATGGACAGTGGGGAAGTAGGAGAAAGAAGAGGAGAATTGTGGACGCCAATCAGTTTGGGGATACTTTGCCTAAAGGATGGAAGCTTTTGCTGTCCCTCAAAAGGAAGACAGGCTATGTTTGGGTGTACTGCCGTCGCTACATAAGGTTTCCTGAATAACTGGTCTTCTAGCATTAATATAATAATTGCTTGTTTTTATATCCGTTAAAGTCACTTTATGTTCTTATATGTTCCACAATGAGAAGGGGATACCTCTAAGAGAACTCTAGGTATTTAGTGTGTCTACAGTTACTCTAAGATGCTCCTTGGATATCTATGGGACAACTATTTTCCTTGAAAAAGATGGTGTCTTGACTAGAAAACTCCTTGATAATTTATCCTAAATGTAGAGCTAGATGTAATGGAAAATGGTAAACTATCCATTCAACACACACTCACACATTTTAAATAATTAGAGACTTTGAAGGCTATAGTTAATGAAGTCTAGTTGATTTTAGCTGTGAATGACACTTCTTTGATATCATTGTTTTGTTTTTCATTTCACTTGTCGGTTCATGCTTGCATTTGCCCTTTCATTTTTTAATTGCTAGATTTTAAAAGTGCAGAAATATGCTTTGAAGTTACCATGTGGAGTAGCTATGGTTTGTGATTCCTAAAGTACAAGAATGAGTTATGGGACTAATTAATAGTCTTGTGAGATGTGAATATTTTTTTATTAGAACCATTCTATATCAACAAATTTATCTGCTATGAAAAATATATGGGGAGCTCATGAATCTCGATAAATAGATTGCTGTCCTTAATTGTCAACACTTGAGTCTATGACATACTACCTCTGTCCCACTATTTTTGGGACAAGAGGGTGTGGCACAACTTTTAAGAAAAGGTGAAATTGTGTAATTGATATTGAATTGATAAAGGAAAATTCCCTTTGTACATGCCAGTTTTTACATGCCAGGTTACATGCCAGTCATATTGTCTGTGTACAGACAATATGATCGACTATTCAGACAATTTGACCGACATTTTATGAAGAAAATCGATTTTCACACAGATAAAAATAAAAAAATTGTCTGTAGCACAAACATTTTGAGATTCTCGTTTAAAATTCTCGTCTAAATTGTCTGTATCACAGAGATTTTATGAAAAAATCACGTCTAAAATGTCTGTGATAAAGACAACTCTTTATTTTTGTCTGTGGAAATCAATTTTCTTCATAAAACGACGGTCAAATTGTTTGTGTAGCCGGTCAAATTGTCTGTACACAGACCATCTGACCGACATGTAACCCGACGTGTAACCCGGCGTGTACACGAAGCGGGACTCATTGATAAAGTGTGAACAAAGTTAATGGGACGGACGAAAAAGGTAAAACGGGACAATGTTAGGGTGATGGAGCGTGTATCTAATAAAATTACCCAGAGGTTATATATTATATATAAATACACTCACACAATCAGAATCACATAACTTGTCTTGCTAATTTATTCTCCAACAATTTATATGTGTTGCAAATGTACATTCGTTTGTGACCAATTTAGTTGATGTTCTGCTCTCCTTTTTAATCTTGAATATGATTAGAGGGAAAATGTGCATTATCTACATGTTCAGCTCCGGGCCCTGATAACTTGTTAATCTACTTTCCTGTTTGGAATTGCAGTGGTATTCATAATACCCGTTTGGTAGTACACTAGCACCAATCATTATTTCTTTTGCTGAAATGAAGAAAAACCACATGCTTGCCCTGATTAGATACAGATATATGTTCTCCTTTTTCATGTTAAAAATCAAATTCGGCTACATTATTGGATAACAAAGTTTTGTATGTCTAGCCAACCTACATCTTTAGCAATTTCAGCTTATTTAACCATTTCACCCAAATTTTACACTGACCAAATGTGCTCATAGCTATATACTCCGTATTTGCTACACAATATAGTAGCTTTGATGCTTATGCTTCATTTCGGTCTTATATATGCAGCCCTAGTGGACGAAACTTTATATCATGCAAGGAAGTTTCTACGTACTTGATCTCCCTCCATGAGGAACAATGCATCCCTCCACTTAACAATGTTGATAGTACCAAAAGCACACTTGAAGGAGATAAACCAGCTACTGATGCAAGCAAAGTGCAACAGACTGTAGATAATGTCGCTCTAGATGTTACTAATAAGGAAACCATTGCTACTAGCCATGTGAAATCACATCCAGTTAGTAATATGCTAATTAATGATCCATTGCTGCTTGGAGATCTGCAAGAGGTCCATGTAATGGATGAGAATCGGAATTTTGGTTATGAAAATACGGATAGTTTGAAGCAGAATATGTCTTCCTTTCACAAGAGAAAGAAACCAAAAAGTGGTCAATCCATTACTGATGGGGTGATTATGAAAGATGGAAAGTTTGAGTGCCAGTTCTGCCACAAGTCATTTGATGAAAGGCATCGCTACAATGGTCATGTTGGGACCCATGTTAAGAATCAGGTAAAGAGTGCCAATGAATCATTGCAGATGAATGTGGGCCCACAAACAGATTCTAGATTGCATGAACCTATTGTTTTAGACCAAGAGTTTTCAGAAACAAAAAATGTGGATCAAGAATCTAAGACTAACACTTTATGTCAGGATAAGCTTGATGATCAGGATGGTGAGGAATCAACAACCCCGGATAACATTAAAAATGCAGACAAGTCTGAAGATCTATTTTCCATCAAATACACAAGATGCTCCAGCCCTGAAGCTATTTTTTCTCACGATGATAAACTTGATGATTTTAGAAGTACTTCTAATTTGGTGGAGCCTGAAAAGGTTCCCTCTTCTGCAAGTGTTTTGCATTCTTCAGCTGACAATGTGAAAGTGTGTGATTTTGGTGACCTTCAACTTGACAAGGACAGTCCTGATGTGAAAAAAGAATCAATATCTGGGTTATTATGCGTTAACGATAGGGAAGATGATGTTCAAATGGATGATATCACACCCTCTTCTATACATACAGTAACGGAAGGAGAATGTGATGATGTTTTACAGACACTGTCCGTTGATGAGGATGACCGTGTTGACAATCTAAATATCCTTTTTTCTAGCTGTATTGATGAGCAGAAGTTTGATGGCATATCCAATGTGGGAAAATCACAAGGTGTATGTGGTGAACCAAACAATGATGATTTTGGGTGTAATACGTCTTGGGGTAAAAATATTGATTCTGCTGATGAAAAGTATGGAAGTCCGTTTCCAGAGTGTGTTGAAAATGAAAAATGTGAGAAGAATGATGGTCCTAGTGAAAATTATGCTGCTGGCAATGTTTCAACTAGTAAGGTTGATGAACTAGACATCAATGAGCTAGATAATGTTAATAATGATGCATTGATTTTCCCTTTTAGCAGCAGCAGTCATGGTGGATTAAATGTAGACACTTCTTCTACAGATCTGAAACAGGACAGGAACCTCCACTTCTCACTTTTTGGCGATGACAATGACACTGAGGGTTACAAAAGTAATAATGTTGAACTGTATGGGCAAGAACCGCCTGAAACTGCAATTCTTCCTCAGGATTTTGGTGAGTCAGCTTCCAATCAGGCATTTACAAGAATTAATGGGCTTCATTGTTCAGGCCATCAAGATCTAAACCTCACTTTTGGAAACTCTCATGTTGAGTTTGGCACAAATGCTGACATCATGCAACTTCAGCAAGGAGGGTACCCTACAGGAACGTCAAGTTTCCAGATTGGTATGGGGCAAACATATGGTGGCCAAAGCAGTCTTGTGCATAACATTGATCACAGAAGAGTGGAACATCAGAAGCAGGGGGTAGGGGTTGGTTTGCAAAATTCGTCATTCAATAGCAAATTTGGTGGTTTTGGAAACAATTATAATATGGCGGTGTACCCTAATAGTTGCTGGGGGGAAGAGAGAATGGATAGTGTTGGCAAATTTGGTAAGAATTTTGTGGGTAGTGTTAGGGGTAATGTTGTCCAGACTAACAAAGGTACAATGGATGGAAGCATTTGGAGAAACAGTGTGGGAAATCTAGTGAATCATGATAACAGTTTGGCAGCTAATGCTAACTCACTGGTGCAGTCATCAAATTGCTTTCAAACCTATGATCTAATGTCAGATAAGGTACCAATATTCCCTCCTTTCACAGTAACTGTTCTTTTGTTGATTTTTAGCAACAGGTGTGATCTTATGCAATCAACATAGCATCTTATGCAAATTTGCCATTTTTGCGTTCGTCATATTCAGTGTTCCAAGAAGGGTATTAATTAGTGCCTTAACGGCAATGTGTTTTTTTTACACCATCAGGATATCATTTCCTAATAATTTTCCATTTTCATCCTTCCTTTATCTCAATTCTTAATTCAAGTAATTTATAATGCTGTAAAAAGAGTATTTAGCAAAGGAAGTTTAGGTAAATACGTCATAATAAGATTCTTAACGCTGCATGCTTCATCCTTAAAAGACAGTTGCTGTTTTTTTCAGGGTGAAGGGCTATTTAAAATGAATGACAGAAGTGGCAGTTTTGAAGGGTTGAGGTCAGACAGAAGTGAACCAGTGGAATACAGTTTCATGGGGACTCAGAGTTTGAGCTGCGGTCAGCAAGAACCGAAAGGTTTCCCCTTCGGGGTAGATATGGGTGGAGGGTTCAATCCGTCATTTTGGATGGGCAAAGACGGTGGTGGGGCTCAAAATGTGTCGGGAAGAAATGTTGTTCCCACAGTGTGCATCTGGTGCAGCAGCACATTCTATCAGGAGGCCATGCAATCTGGCACACAAGGAGTAGTTGGTTCCATGTGTCCTACCTGCAGCTCTAGAATTTGACATCGTTTTTCTGGCTGATTTTGTGATCGTAATTTTAAGGTCTTTTTAATACATATTAATTCCAATTATGTTTTTTTTTCCAAAATTTCTTTAGGTCGTTGTTAACCCCAACGATATACTCCCTCCGTCCCTCAATAGTTTACCAAGTTTGACCGGCACAGGAAATAGTAAAAGTAAAAATTGTGTGGTTTAGATACATGCAGCGAAGAGAGAAATAACTAAAATCACAAATTCATTGATTAAAAGGAAAAGTGACAAAGTTTTTAGGATATCCGAAAAAAGAAAGATGACAAAGTTATAAGTAGGGTTGGACTCGAGCCGGGTGGCCCGACCCGGAACCGGTACTGTTCCGGCCCGGCCCGACCCGGTGGCCCGGTCAGTGACCGGTCCGGGTAGGCCCGGCCCGTGGGTTTTCCGGTATGGGCTCGGGTCACCCAAAACAAGGCCCGACTCGGCCGGGCCCGGTTCGGGCCAAAAACTATTTATTTATTTTTTTTAAATTTTTTTAAATTTTCGGGTTGGGCTGGATATTTTGGGCCATTTGGGGTGGTTTGGGGGGTTGGGGGTTGGAGGGGGGTTAATTAGGAAGAGGAAAACAAAAAAAAAATATAATTGGCCCGGCCCGGACCCGGACCGGACCCGGTGGTTACCCGGGCCGGTCCTGGGTCCACCATTTCTGACCCGCCGGCCCGCTCGGGCCTAGACCCGACCCGGACCCGGCCCGGACCCGAGTCCATCCCTAGTTATAAGGGAGAGTCGGACAGATGGAGTATGCCTTGATAAAACCAATCTCTACTACTAGGAGTCTAGGACTTTGGATTTAGATTTTTTTATTTTTTTATTTTTTTTAAAAGGTCATTTTTTATTAATGGAGTAAAAGTTGAGGGGGGTACATGGTTTATCAATCTCTAAAAGGATTAAATTAGAGCAAAAACAAGAAGGCTGATTATTAAATCAGCCCATGGTAAGGAGGAGTCCATAGCATGAGGCCCAGGAGCATAATCGAAAAGGGATGGCCCGTCTGACAGAGAACATAATGCGTCCAAAGAATGATGGTCGTTCAGTAGGGTTTCGTATCTTCTAGAGGTATAGAGAGGTAGTGTTGTGCTCTTGATCTTTGTCTGGAACTGCTTGAGGCTTTGGAAATCAACCGGTGTCCCTGAAGAATGCCGCGCCTCTCTTATCGTCGTGATAGGCCTTCTTGGCCTTTGCCGGTAGAGTGTCCGCATCAAAGAAATGGGGGGCGAAGGTGGAGTTCCGGACTCCGTGTTGTGAGAGGTGGTGTGCCACCAGGTTTGCCTCTCGAAAACGGTGGCGGATATTGACCGAGTTGCAGCGCATCAGGCTTCTGATTGTTGTCAGATGGTCTCGTAAGTACTCAGGTACCTTCATCGAGCCGATTACCATTTTCATACAAATCTGTGAGTCTGTCTGTGCCTCGAATCTATTGAAACCCTTTTGTGTAACCATTTGTAATGAGGTACATAGGGTGACGATTTCAGCGTGCAACGGATTAAGGGCCGTGATCTGGAAGTTAGTTGCCATAATCAAGTTTGTCAGTTGGATTTAGATATTTTCATGCGCTTCTGTTATTTCTTTCAACCCTTGTTTTTCACATGCCTCTATTTCCTTTTGTTGTCTAAGGATATCAGGTTTTCCTATTATGTGATACAAGCGCACAACTTGTATACTAGATTCTCACTCGTGTGATGCACAGGTCAAAATTAAACAACCATTATATTTTATTATGTATAAAATTATTAATAAAAGAAAGTTTATATATAATTCGAATGTGTAAATGTACTAAAAGAATAATAAAAGTAATATTATAATTTATAATGTAAGAGCGGATGCGGATAATGTTTTGAAAAAAAGAATAAATATATATTACAACGTGGTTGTATCGGTCTAGATATGTATATGGAGTTAGTAACATGTATTCTATATCACTATTAAATTTAAGACGAAGCTCAAAATTCCAAAAATGAGAGAAGAAACTTTTTTCCCACCATCACAATGCTTGCATTAAAATGTCATTTTTAACTCTCTTGATCTATTCCTCTTCAACATTTTGATGCTTACCTCTTATGCAATCTGGCAATGCTACTAAGCTTGATCCAGAAAGTTGAAGTTTTATGGTACTGACCTTTATAAAAATACATAAATGATAACCCCAGGACCTGACCACTATCAAGTGGTGTGATTCATGGAATCATGGGGCAGCAAGTTTATTCACGTATAATTCACGTATAATACACTCCAACGTATAATTCGCGTATAATACTCCTGTTTATGATTTTTTCAGAAAATACTTAAAAATTCACGTACTTTAAGGATAAAATGTATAATACACGTACTGTACGTATTGATACGTATTTTATTAAAAAATACCATTAAACTGAAGCCTAATGGAGTGGCACAAATGAAGTGAAATGTTTAGCTGCTCAATACTATTTATAATGCTTAAAAAATTATTATGTCTTATACGTTCGTTAATTGTTTAATAGTCATCATCAGATTTAATAAATTAGCTTCTTAAAGTCATAATTCGTTTTTATATTACTATTGTACTATTATTTTGTTACTCTTATTCTCCACTCATACCAAAACTCCAAAAACAAAAGAATATTATGGCGGCTCACCAAATTTACGGTCACAATAATATAAACTATTCTCTAGAAATATGTCTCTACTTCTACACAAATAGGCAATATCATTTTTATTATTTAATGTACCTATGAATTAAAATTCATATATCTGAAAAACTATTCCGTACATTTTAAACTGTTGAAGAATGTAATGCATATGCTAAATCACTCTTTATTCTCATCATTAAATTAATATATAAGACATGTATTATATGCCGTATTTTTAAATTGTAAAACGTTTAAAACACGTTCGTATCTTTATTCATTTCACGAACGTATGAAACATATATTTAGCCGTATTTTATATAATTGTATCGTATTATACACGAACGTACGTATTATTGTATTATTCACGAACCGTATAATACTAACAAAGGCAACAACATCATTTGGTACACTGAGATGCTATTATGCCTATGTAATTTGGCTTTCATCATTTTGCTATCTTTCTTTGCTTTGTATTGCAGATGCTCATGAATGTTGAGAGCAACTTTTAGTTTACTATTTAAAATAAGATTATTTTTATGGAAAAAATAAGATTAATAATCCTGGAGCTATCAATATCTTCATTCCTCCGTTTCATCCGTTCCGACTTAAGACCCACCCATTTATTTCTCAGCATCTTCTCCGGTTAGAGGGTTGTAAAGACCAAGAGCTTCTAAATGCTTACCGTCCCCGGGTGAATTGCTATTGACAGCCATTAGTCTATAGAAGAGCAGCTATCAGTATCTTCATTCCTCCATTTCATCCGTTCCAACATAAGACCCATTTGTTTCTCATCATCTTCCTCGGCTAGAGGGTTGTAAAGACCAAGAGCTTCTAAATGCTTACCGTCCCCGGGTGAATTGCTATCGACAGCCAAACCAAAGGTGTCAATAAAGATTCAGATTTAACAAAACTGTACATCAAAGCCATTAGTTAAAAACATAAAAGAAAGAGCAGAACTAAAGCAGTCAAATTACCTATGTATTCCTCAAGAAACATTCTTTTGTTTCCAATCCACTCTACTCTTAGTTATCGGTTCCACAGTTCCTTAGAATCAGTTTCGAGGCATAAATTCCCACTTCAAATGATATAACAGCATCAAAAACCTCAATGAGAAGCATTACTTCATTTGTTAAGAAATGTGTATTACTACTATAATTCCAACCTGCTGCTGCCATAGAAACTTGACAGTCTCTAACAACCACACCATTCCTACCTCATTACTCGCTTTCCAGGATCCAAAATTTAATTTAACATGCAATTGATTTGGTTTTTCAAAACGAAGACTTTGTAGGCCTTGGTTGCTACTGTTTTATAGTTCCAGGGATCAATCCTACCTCCTTTATTGTTGTGTTCCCGGGCTAGTCTGATTACTCTCATTAGTGGCTATTGTTTCTCCTATTTTTAAATAGAATTGTTATCTTTGTTGTTAATATTATATTATATCATATATATAATCATATATATGCATATTTGTATCTGAAAGTGATAATTTTGAGTCCTACCACAAATTAGGGAAAGCTAATGAAAGTTATATGAAAGTCGGCATACCTAGGGTGGTTTAAGGACTTAAGCTTGTTATATTTTGTGGCAATGTCAATCGGGTCAACATTTGCTATAGTACGGAGTAGTTGTTATAGATAAATGCTTAATTTAAAATGAGAACAAATTTAAAAAATGTGAACAAATTGTTATAGAATAAAGTTAATAGTTTAAATATGAGAAAACTCTCAAATAGACCCTCGTACTTTAACAAATTTCTCAATTAAGCCCTCACACTTAGTAATCACCCAATCCGATCCCTGAACTAACCAAATCGACCCAATCAGGCTTTTTAGCCAGTGGAGTTAGCTCGTTGCGTGCTGATCTGGACGCCCTCGTGTGCCTCCACCATCCGGCAATTTATTTGACGTGGCTAACCCCCTTTTAAACTAACCTTCTCCTTCACAGACAATAACCCCCTTTTGAACAAATAAACTACGTTCTCAGACCTAACGTGGAGGAACATATACTAATGGAGTAGTTAGAGTGAACACGAGAGTTGGTGCGAAGCCCCGTAAGGAACATCCTTGGAACGTGAGTGATGCCTGATGCTCCAATGGTATTTCAAAGGATTTATATGTGTTTTGGACCAGTAAAGAAGGGGTTTTTGGAAGGCTGTAGGAAAGTTATTGGGTTGGATGGTTGCTTTCTAAAAGGACAGTTGAAGGGGGAGATTTTAAGTGCTGTGGGAAGAGATGCGAATAATCAAATGTACACGATTGCTTGGGCAGTAGTAGAGATAGAAAACAATTCATCATGGACTTGGTTTTTACACCTTCTGAAGGAAGACTTGCAGATCAACAAACCGGCTGAATAGACCATAATAAGTGATCAACAGAAAGTAAATTTTCTTACAATTCAATGCTTCATTGTGTACTTTTATCTTCTACTAAGTGTTTTCAAACTTGTAATTGCTATAGGGACTGTCAAATGTTATTGCAAATGTTCTCCCAGATGCTGAGCACAAGAATTGTTCTAGGCATATACATGCCAATTGGGCCAAAAATCACAGAGGAT